GGGGGGGGGGGGAGGCATACTGACGAAATCAACAGGGGTTTTTTTTTTATTTAACGATGATTATGAAAAAGCTCGCATTCTTTAATAATCGGCAAAATTGCATTTTCATATCTTTTTTCTTGGATAAAATTGCGAATGTACAAACAGTATGATGGAGAAACTGTTCAATGAGCCCTCCAATTTTTTTAAACAGGGTGTTCAGTCAGATTAAGTAATGTAAAAACATTAAAACATTAAACAAACAACTGTGTCCAAGGCCACAGTGCACTATGGACAAAATCCATGAGGTAAAATTTATCCAGACGAAATTTATTGCTCATTTTAGTACGTGCAAAAGTGTTTCGTGTAAGTTTTTTTTTTAACCGGATTTTTTTTTTTCGCAGTTCAAGCAGTTCCACCTCGCGGAACAGAGAAGAAACAGCAGCCTGTTATCGTGAAAGAAGAACAGGATTTCCCCTTGCGAACAACTGCTGAGATTATTCAAGAAATCACCGAAGGACCGGTTGGGCAAGTAATTTTCCCAGTTGATGAGGATTTCCCGGATTTCCCCGAGGATTTCGACGAGCCGGAGACAGGCAAGAGGAAACAACCCGTTATTGGACTGCCGCCGCAACAAATTGGGCCGCCGCAACAGCCGCCGAATTTCAGGCCCGGGCAATTCGGTGGACCGCCACCAAGACAACAACAGCAGCAACAACAACAACAACAACAACAACAGCAACAGCTTCGACCTGCGGGGAACCGGAATCAGCCAGGACCTGGGAATAATCAACCCGTGATCCCACCTAATCCCAACAGGTGCATTTTTCATGAATTTTTCAGCGTGATTTTTTCAAAAATGTGAAGCTTTTTTTTTTAAATATTGTGATGAGGAAAAGCATATATCAAATGAGGTCCTGCTCTGTGTTTTAAAAATATGTTCAGCTCTCCAAGAAAGAACATATTTGTGATATCTTTGCAAATTACACGACACATCTGTCTTTCAAAAATAAATATTGTACGCGCACAATTAAAATGAGTACGTAAATACAGGTTATACGTTGCAATTAGATTGTCCCAAAATTTGATGGTCAAATTTGCTGGTAGGTCAACTTGAAATTCAACCTAGGCCTTGCAATTTGACCCACAGAGGATGGGCAAAACCGTCAGACACAATTTTGAAAACATTGCATCAAATTATGGAGATTTGATGTTGCTATGGAATTTGACTGCTTTGCAATTTGACCCTAGTCCAGCAACAGAACAGGGGAAAATTGGCAAATTGCGGGGCACTGCCTGTACTTCACACGTGTATTGCAGTCAAACTTTTCCAAGCCAAACTCAGTGGAACCCACCACAACATAGTCAACTTAGGAAGTTTTTGAGTTAGAGAAACCAGCATTTTGCAGAAAAAAGAAGAATTACAGAAAAGTAAACTTGGTGATACTCCGACCTTATATTGCTGGAAAGCGAGTTGATAGGATGCTAAACTTGGAACAATAATATGTTTTCTCTATTACCCAAACAGTTTCTTTTGAGAAGCGTCAATTTAAATTTTTATTGCTCTTTTACTTTCTGGTATACTCAAATTAAAAGCAGACAGACTTGTCAAAAATTTTAGTAATAAAGGTTCGATGTGGAAAAGTCATCAAATTAGTGAGATTTTTTACAGTGTTCTTGGGGTAATTCAAATAAGACAAAAATGAATTTTGACGCGGGGAGGTATTCAAATTCGAGAGTTTTGACTTCGTGAGGTCCAACTGTACGAGAGGTGGTGAAAATGAATCTGAGGACAAATTTTTGTATTTTGTAAATTCCGCAGTTTTATTTTGTGGCCTATATTCAAGAGTTATGAGACGAAACAACCGATGGATTGAAATTTACAGTACTTTCAAATCGGGTTTCATCTGATATATTTTCTACACAAGGCATGACGGGTTATTCCGTATCCTCGGTAATGATTTGTTATTTTCATCATACGTATTTTCTCAACGAAATAAAAAAATATGTATAGGCCAATCGGGGTCCAGTTGCAACCCGGACAACTGCTGCCAGGGCAACGCCCCCAGTTTCCCCAGCAACTCCCGCCTCAGTTCCGCCCGGGTCCTCAGCCGCGCCCTATCCCAGGTTTCGGGTTCCCTCCGCAAGGCATCCTTCCCGGACAAAACGGACCATTCGGGATCCCTCCTCAGTTTCAACAGCAACAACAACAGGGGCCAGGTGGGCCCGGACCCGTGCGAGGACGGCGTCCTTCTCCGCAGCAAGACCAAGAGGAATCTGAGCCCCAAGGAAACAGACCGCCAGCAGGCAACAACAGGCGCCAAAGCGGCGGCGGGGGTGGAGCCAGCAATAAGAACAACCAAAAGAATCAGAGTAACAAACGAAGACGCCCTTCCGGTGGCAGCAAAAACAACAACAACAACAATAACAACAATCGCAGAAGGAATAAGCCACAGAAACAGAATATTGAGAACGTGGACCGCGCTGACAATGCGGCTGACCAAACAATTATTGCACAGGTTCGTGGGAAAATGAATGGTTTTTTGAATTTCTGAAGAATTTGTTTGTCGCATCGTTGAGGAATTCAAGTTTATCGCCATCTTGGATTTAAAAGCATGTTATGGCATTAAGGTGCCGTTCATAAACTTATTCACTCGGTTCTCTTTTTTTACTCAAATTTTTTTCTATCCCTCTTCCCTCAGAACTGCAGCATAAATGGAAATCTTTTAATTACTTACAGTGGTGCCTCAATGTATTAAACCTCACAAACTCGATTTTCTTTTTTTATGCGCATTTTTTTCAGTTTGATTTTATTTTTTCTTCAAGACGTATTTTGCTGAGACGAGGGACTTCCTTTTCTCTCTTTGTGACTTGAATGTTTCTATACAGATGCCAACATTTCAATGTACTGTACAGAGGTACATGATTCAATGCTCCAAATGTTCTTATTGAGTTGAGAATATATTCACTGAATCAAATTCAAGTGGAAAATTTTTTTTCATGGAATTCTGAAGAAATATTTCTTCCATGAAACACCAATTAAAAATTATATTATGTAAGTCTATGTGGGAAAGCAAGACTAAACTTTGGGACATTTTGACTTAAGGACACTCTTGATGCACCAATTACTGTATGTCCACATCTGAGGTCTCACTGTACAGTCAACCCCTGTCTAACAGACTTGATTTGTGCAAGGGACAAGTCTGTTAGACGAAAAGTCCTTTACACAAATTCAATTACATAAAAATTGAAAATTTCAATTTTCAACACTAATTTTAAACTTAAAAGAAGTCTGTTTTGTGGATTTTGTCTGTTGGGCGGGAGGAAAACTGCTTGCAGAGCTGGTCTGTTTGGCAAAAATCCCTTACATGGGAGGTCTGTTAGGCTTGGGGCCACTGTAGTTACCAATGTGTTTGACAGGGACATGGGATGAAAAAATGATAATAATTCAACATTTAGGAATGATGTCAAGGCCAACAATATACTTCACTCATTTCTTTAAAAAAAAAAATCCATTCCCTTGTATATCACAGGAATTCCACACTGATCCCAGCAAGCTTCAAGGGGAAATCCCGCAAGGACTCGGAGAAAAAGTGAGTCCCGCATTCAAGCAGAACAAAGGACCGCCGCCGCAATTCCTGATGCCGCCCAACATGGGCTCAGTCGGGCCAGGCTTCGGTCCCGCCGTCGGCTTTTCCGGACAGCCGCCACAATTCCCGTTCATTTCCGGCGGGAGATTCCCTCAACAGCCGTTTCCCCCGGGTCTGGCGCCTCCCGGCCTGAGGCATTCGAATAATGCGAAACCTGGGCCGGGACCTGCGGGATCCATTCCCTTGCATCAACAAAAGGAACAGAAGGAGGCTCGAGAAGAGTCTCCGGATGTTGTTCAGGCTAACAAGCAGCAAGGAGCTGAATCAGACATCCTGAAGGATGTTTGGTCCACCATCGAGAACAATTCTGGGCCACAATCGATCGTTAGGTATGTGCCGCTCATCGAAGGCAATTTCTCAACAATATCGATTTATTTTATTCATGTAATCTCAGTTGAACCCATGAAGGTTGGGAGCTTGGCCTCATGCGGAGATTTTAATCAATGGATATTACAATATTTCCTGGCCAAAATGCTACGATCATTTATTATCCATGGATTTCCCACCTACAGGAAGATGTAAAATCCTTTGTTGGCAGTTTATATAAAATTATTTGCATCTTTTTTTTTATTCTTGAACATGATGTGTTCTAAAATTTAATCTCCGTTTATTGATGAAAAGGACTTACGAATCGAAAAAAAAGAGTTGATTTTGCCAAAAATGTTTCGAGTTAAAAGGGTTTAAATTGCAGTGAACCTAAATGAATTGTTGAGGGATTAAAGTACTGTATCTGGGAAGTTGAATTTGGAAGGTTTTTCTCAGCTTGGGTTCAAAAGTTCAACTGCATATTTCAAGAATCACAAAATCCAACATTTTTAACATCATGGCGATTTTTCCCTCAAATTTGGTTTTAAAAAACCTATGGTCTCAGCATATATTCAATTGAAACAGCATCGAAAGTATCAGGTGAAATGTAAGAATATTTTTGATTCGTCATGCGATTCTCTAGTAAGAAATTTTAATTTTTCTCAGAGGAGGACAGCGTATCAAATACTATGATGAGGTCGTGTAACGTTTTGAGATAGAAAAAAGCATCGACATGATTAATATACGTGTTTTAAAGTCGGTATTACTCAAGATATTGTTTGATTTTTCTCGGATCACTTTGAAGAAAAGTCTAATTCAAGCCATAATGGTGAATTATTTCGTCGAAACTCCTTATGAAGCACATAGCTAAAATACTTCATGAGGAAACCCTCTTCTTCCATTAACTTGCCTGTTAAGTTACTTCAGTCTATATTTTTTTTAATTCATCGTCACCATGAATTTTGTCAGTCATGGTAAAAGGGCTTTTGTTATGCATAATACAGTAGTTGCACTGTGCGTGACAAGGCTAAAAATTAATATTCCCCCACCGCCTTTGTATATACACAGACGACAAGGGGTTGTCGAGGGTCCGGAGATCCGGAGGCGTCAGTTTTTGGCGGCCAACCACCGGGACCTGATACGATTGCCACGAGCTGCGATACCCGAAGAGGAACCCGTCACCGAACCCCAATCAGAACCCAAACAGCATTCGGAAGAAAAACACGCTGCTGATGCAAACGCCGAGCCGGAACCCGAGCATAATAGCGGTGCAATTGTCAATAACGTGTCGTTGTCTTTCAGATTTTGCCTATTAGCCATTGCATGCGTGGCTTTTGCCAATAATCGGCTGCTGAATTTCTTCTGACTCTAGCTCGCTTCGATTTTTGCTCGACTCCAAATGTGTTTCTAAGCAGAGCTTTTTTGTTGGTTCGTTTTTTTTTTCTTGTATACGAGAGATGCCAATTCTGGTAGCATATTTGAGAAACGTCGAAAAAAAAGAAATGTTCGTTCTCTGGAGGCAGTATTGAAAGTATCTTTTCTTTCTTTTTGTTTTGTTGCTTATTGGATGGTTGTGACTGTTCAAACTATGAGGTGAGGTTGGATCTTAATTATTTGTCAACATCCCAGACTATTTTTAGTTAGCTCTACTCAACTCTGCTCGTGTTGGGGAGAAAAAGGGAGGAATGTTTTCGCTTTAATTACGACTTTCTTGAGGCTAACGGGAAACGTTATTTTATTCCTTGAAGAATCTCTTTGCGAATGATTGTTTCAACTGGGGACGTTTTGTGATAGGTGGCTAATGTACAGGTATTTTAAAACACGAATACTTTTTGAGACTGGAGGAGTGAATTTTTTGATGCGAAGAAATGAATTGCGTCATACTGTTCATTTCCGCTCTGTTTTTTTCGGTTCCTTTGAATTTGGAAAACTCTTTGAAGTGGATGTGTCTGCAGGTTTTATTTTTTGAAATGCATGTTCGTTTCTGTTAACATGAAGTGCGAATAAATATTGTTTTATAATGATTCTTGCATTCTATTTTTGTGTTGTTTTTCGCGATGATTTCGCAAACTGACGAACATCTTTTTTTAATGTTTTGCTGAAACCTATTTATTTCATGGATTTTTTGCAGCTAATTTTACATTGACCATAGTTGAGTGCACTATAGCAGCAATCCTTGGATTTTGTTGAATAACCAACTACATCATTTAACCAGAAATTTGTGTCCAGCAGCCTTGAGGAAAGATTTTAATTACGAACTTGTATTAATGTTGAAATCACAGTTTGTATACGAGAGATGCCAATTCTGGTAGCATATTTGAGAAACGTCGAAAAAAAAAAAAGAAATGTTCGTTCTCTGGAGGCAGTATTGAAAGTATCTTTTCTTTCTTTTTGTTTTGTTGCTTATTGGATGGTTGTGACTGTTCAAACTATGAGGTGAGGCTGGATCTTAATTATTTGTCAACATCCCAGACTATTTTTAGTTAGCTCTACTCAACTCTGCTCGTGATGGGGAGAAAAAGGGAGGAATGTTTTCGCTTTAATTACGACTTTTTTTGAGGCTAACGGGAAACGTTATTTTATTCCTTGAAGAATCTCTTTGCGAATGATTGTTTCAACTGGGGACGTTTTGTGATAGGTGGTTAATGTACAGGTATTTTAAAACACAAATACTTTTTGAGACTCGAGGAGTGAATTTTTTGATGCGAAGAAATGAATTGCGTCATATACTGTTCATTTCCGCTCTGTTTTTTCGGTTCCTTTGAATTTGGAAAACTCTTTGAAGTGGATGTGTCTGCAGGTTTTATTTTTTGAAATGCATGTTCGTTTCTGTTAACATGAAGTGCGAATAAATATTGTTTTATAACGATTCTTGTATTCTTTTTTTGTGTTTTTTTCGCGATGATTTCGCAAAATGACAAACATATTTTGTATGCTTTGCTGAAACTTATTTATTTCATGGATTTTTTGCAGCTAATTTTACATTTACCATAGTTTTCACGTGATATCGTCGTTAGGAACCTAAAACAACTTATTGGTTGATGTAGTAAATTGGTCTTTAAACACAGGTCGTCGGAACTCCTTTCTAAAATTAATGCTTGAACATAATTACAACTTTAGTGTCGAATGTCTTTGAGTTGCCAGACAATTTGCATTGGATGCATCTTCGGCATATATACACGTGTGCAGGTACCTGAATAGAAATTTAGAATAATTATTTCCTGAACTTTTTGTGTCGATTCATGTTACGTCGACCGTAAAACACGATCAGATTTTTCTTTTAAAATGTGATTATCGCTGAATATAAGTCGTCAATCCGGGATAGGAGCGATATAATTACATCAGTAGTTTAAAATTATTATTGATAAGCATTGATTCTTAGTACACAGAATAGTGACCTATATATATACTGTGCACCGACGTATATGACACCATGATAGTGGTTGGTTTCATTCAGTCTTGCAAATCTTCCACAGAAGGTCCAGCTGGATGAGTGAAAATTTTAAATTCTTGAAAATGTCCACAGTATAACCAGCAATAACCAGTAAGTATATGGGATAATTAGTATATGGGATAAGCCGTAACAGGCTCATTATTATTGCTGATCTTCAGTAATTTTCCAAAATTTTTCAGTTTATTTTTCATTTTATTCTGCATGTGACCAGAATTGTTCACATGATACAGTACTGTCTTTCAATAGGTCGTTCGTAAAAGACTTCTGTAAGATCTAAACACGGGGTAATATTGACATTTGACTGTTATCCCGGAGCATATTTCGCCTTGGACGGCCCTTAACGACTCTTGGGTCCAACGTCATTTAAAAGACAAGACCACTTTACTGGAAGGAGCTTTGCTGTATGATTGAATATGATGGTTGAAACGTATGTCAAGATATGGAGCCAGACTCCTTCCAACTGGAAGCTCAAGAATCCAGGATCAACAAATAAAGCGTTATACAGTACAGTACACCACTGTGCCGCTCTGACTGCTTAGACTTCGGAGTTCCTAGACCGACTGTAGCTTTGCCTGACATCTGTGGAGGAAGTGAGCATTGTTAGGATAGAAATGTGTTTATTAGGATGAGCGATAGGGCGCGCTGGCATCAACAAAGTCCGGGTTTTCTGGTGCGTGATGTATCCCGAGTTAATGTGACGGAACATTGTGAGGTTTGTGGCGATCTATTGCGGGAATCCAATTAATTTTCAATCCACATAAATAAATTAATTTGTTTAAATAAAAAAATTTTAAATTTAAATAATCGAGAATATCACAATGATGAATATATTTCAGCTCTAATCTCGAAAGAAAGCTATTTTCATAATAAGCGTTAAACTGACCGCGACCTTACGAGCAACGGTGTCAACATATGGTAGACCCATAAAGTAAACCTTTCTTGGTACGAGAAGTCCTCACACTAATCGCACCCTGATTATAATGTTAGCGCGCGAATTTTTCGCAAAATTATTTTTATCCGAAATGCTGGTAAATCGTTCTGATTTCTTGCTTGTCGGTATGATTCGCGCTGCGTGCTCGGGTGATCAATTTGGACTGTGCTCTGTCTTGAACTTTTATATCCGTTTATTATCTCGATGTCCAATAAGCAGTGTGAGACTCTGGTGTTCACCGAGCTGCGTGAAAATGTGCATACACGTGAAATGTCGGCGAACAAAGAATGATGCATGCATGAGTCAATACGTGGAATTCCCCGACGAAGAATTCTGTGCTGATGAATTCCGACTCAGTTCTGCTTTGCTTATCGAATAACTGTGTTACGGTGTAAGGTATTTTTGTTCAGAGCCAGAAAGTTTTCATAGGCCGGAGGTGGACAGAGGATTAAAAAACTCCGTGAACATTGTCTCATGGGAATCGTCCAGGAATTCGAGCTTGCTCCACGTCAGGTTTTTCCGGTGTTCGTGTGAGCAAAGTTTAAAACTTAGCATGATCGGTTTCGTTTATTCGAAAATCTTACGGAATGTTCACGCGAGTGTCTTTGAAATGTGCTATTTCCCACTAATGTGACTAGTTCTGTTTACTCTCATTTGGTAAATTTTAACCCGCGTTTGCTCTCTTTTTTTGTGCATATTTTTGTTATTTAGCGGACTGTGCCGCTCACTGCGGCAGGTTTGGCATGTCAGAAGATCTGTCTGACTTAGTGTTCTGTGCGACATGTGGAACACGTGAGTCCCTTCTCTGTTCTGGACTTCCACCGAATGCCTCGTCCACGGCAAAAGCCGGATGGCATTGCTTGTCCTGCAGGAAGTGTTCGGTGTGTCGGAGCCCGGCAGCTCATGGGAGCAGAGTTTTGACCTGCCAAGGTTGCTCGCGCTCGTTCCACGGCGACTGCATACGTCCCGCGATAAAAAATTTGCCATCACCTGATCATGGCTGGCGGTGTAAGGTAAGCTCTCGTTGACGGACGCCCATTGAATGCATTGGATGTTTTCACGCCATCTGACCAAATTATTGCGACTTTTCTCAGAGTTGTCGGGTTTGCTCCGACTGTGGATCTCGAGTCCCTGGCTATTCGAGCTCCGCGCGATGGCATCTGAACTTCACTGTTTGTGACGGATGCTACCAATTGAGGAGCAAAGGATTGGCCTGTCCCGTTTGCGGTAGAGCGTATAGGCTCACCTTACAGCGCGATATGTCGCAGTGCAATTCTTGCCGAAAGTAAGTTCAGTATCATCATTGCGACTAAAAAACAACACTGCGAATGTCGTTATTTTTGAGTCATCGTCGAAATTTCATTGTCCATGGGGTTTGGATAGAAATTGTCTCATGAATGTGTAGTTGATGATCTTATTTTTAAAAATCTGCGTATATTCTTGTTTTAGTTCTATGAGAACTTTTTGTTTACCGATTCCTCAATATTCCTTCTTTTTCCTAGGTATGTTCACCTGACGTGCGATAGCGATGCAGAGCCGTCTGTTCAAGCTGTCAGGAGAGAATCCGATCCGGAATATGAGTACAAATGTACTGTGTGTAAATCAATTCCCACTTTTCCTTTTCCAAAGGGTTTGATCTCACCTAGAGGTATGTGTTTTTAACAATTCGTATGTGATGGGTTGTTTGAAAGTTAAGTTTACGAAGGTATACGTGGAGAAGACTCCCTGCTGGATAATTCTCAAGATTCGTGGCCGTCAACTGTTGGCGATGAGTCTTCACTTTCTGCCGTCGAGGGAGAATTTTCGGACCGGGTTTGTGAATTAGTGCATGCCAAGCGTCGTTCTACGATTTGACGCTATTTTGATTCGATTTCGTTTCCATCGATTTTCTTCAGGAGGATGCTGGAGCGCGAGGCAAGCCCCTTCTGAGTCCGCTGGAGTTACTGTCGCCCGGTCTCCAGAGTAGTTCTGGACTTTTCAGTCCAACGGGTACGAGTAGTTCAAAAAAGAGACCATTAAGCGGGAGTAATTCCAAGCCCCAAGGCTCAGGCGGTGCTCGTCCGGCTCTGAACAAGAAAGCCAAGTTGGCCGCGGCAGAATCCAAGAAAGAGAAGAAATCCAAGCCGAAAATGCGTGGGATTTTCGGCATGCCCGGCATTGGACTTCAGGTGAGTTGAGCCCGCAGGATAAAAGATACTTGACTGCGTGACGTTGATGAATGAATGAGTGTTTTTGCTGTCCAAAATCCAGCGTCCGACACACGATGATCAGCAAGCGGAAAAAAAACCTGGTACTGGAAGTACCACCGCATCTGGAACTGCGGACAATCCTGCGGAAGACAACTGCTTAATATTGTGCTCAGCAAATGACAAGGTTGTGCTGTCTCAGGACATGTGCGTGATGTGTGGATCTGTGGGTCAAGGACAAGAAGGGCGACTAATTGCCTGTGCTCAATGTGGACAAGCGTATCACCCGTATTGTATCAATACAAAGGTTTGTTTATTTTTTTCGCGCCCCGACGCATACGCTCCATGTCTCGGGTTTTTCAGCATATTATATGCATATTACCCTCTTTTCTTCCGACTTTTTTGCTGTTGAAGAAATTAAATGCCCCCGTGTCCACGAAAAATATTTTACCAAGTCTTCGTCGATGCTTCATGCCAACCCCCTACTGTTATTCCTTAATTCACTCGAGTTACGCGATTTAATATCAAATCATTCCATAATCCTGCGAGAATTTTTCAATTGGAACGGAATCCGAGGATGATTTTGAACATTATTTTCCATGGCGAACCCGTGTCACGGGTCGAATGTGTTGTGCACTTGATTGGTCTCCTGCAAACATATCCTCTAGCGTTTAAAATCCAATGTTTAAACGATGTTCAACTCATTACCGAGTTCCCCGTGACGTCAGCATTTTAAATCCTCGACTTTTTCATGTGGTTTTTTGCAGGTCGCCAAGGTGATTTTGGAAAAAGGGTGGCGGTGTTTGGACTGCACGTTTTGTGAAGGTTGTGGGCAACCGCACGACGAAGGCAAGCTGATATTGTGTGACGAATGTGATGTGTCGTATCACATTTACTGCCTGGACCCTCCGCTTGACTACGTACCACAAGGCAACTGGAAGTGCAAGTGGTGTGCGGTGTGCTCAGAGTGTGGTCGCAATGATCCGGGAAAGAATGCCAACTGGCTCGAAAACTTTTCGCTGTGTGGTCCGTGCTCGTCCATCACTCGGTGTCATATCTGTTCTGAACTTTACGTTGACCACGACTTCATCATTCAGTGTTGCTTCTGTGACAGGTAAAATAAGTTCTGATTCCATCGAAACTAATGGGACACATTGATAAATTCTAGCTTTGCTAAGGTATGACTATAACGTATTTAAGGGTGGCGTCATTTTTGCGAACCCCGTTTAAGAAGGAAAGTGACTTATTCTGTTCGTACTCGCTGGTCTGAAGAAACAGGCAAAGTTTCTTCGTTGATCTGAAAATGTTCCGTACTATGTTGCGAATGACAGATGGTCTCATGGAATTTGCGATTCCATCTCGAACGAAGATGAAGCGGACAAGTGTATCGAAGCCAGCTACCGGTGTCCAAAATGCCGCCCCCGAGATGAACCGCCGCCGCATTTGAGGGTTTCGACGCCTGAATCAAAGGCCACCATTTCGCCGTCTCCGCCAGTGTCCCCGGCGCTGCGAGATTCCGTTTCCCCAGAAGTTCCTCCATTAGTCTTGCATCAACTGGGAAACATGACGTACGCAGCCCGGAAATCTGGAAGTTCTCAAATACTACCAACTCCGACGCCCCCTGCTCATTACATGGATGGAGTGACTTTGTCGGAGTCCGGGTTCAGCTTCATCAGAGATCTCATTCCTTTGGAGGAAACTAAGAAGAGTCGCGGCCCACGAAAGAAAGATGCATCGTTAGGTTTGTGATCAGAGACCTTATCGTTTATAGTTCTACGCAATATTTCCTGGTTCCTCTAACAAATATATCTTGTTTCAATAAATCTTTGAAAAGTTGAGTCCTTCGTCGTTTTTATGCTCTCCAAATTTCCTTTTCAACCTGATCAGTCGAGGAAATTAGTCGTAAGCGTATGTGACGTTAATTATGCACATTTAAAGCCGACGCTGTTCCAATTACTGAGCAAGACTCCCCTCCGCAATCTCCGTCCAATGTTTTAAAAAAGAATAAAAAGCCGCGGAGGAACTTGAAATTTAGGGATTTTATCTGTTAAATTGGAGATTTAGATTAGATTTTTCTCCTACAATGCCAGATAACTGCGCGTTGAAAGGTTTTTCTAATCGTGGTCCATCGATTTTGTTAGATTTGGAAGATCTGAATGGAAATCAGGATGCCGACTGTTTCGGCGACAAAGACGAAAATGGTGATCTCGCAGAAGCTGCCAAGAAGCGGAAACAAAGAAGTTTACAGCGTTACGGTGAGTTCTGAATCCGAATCGTGCCGTTTCTTGTCGCGTAAAATGAAAGATTTGGAAGAAATAATGAAATGATCTAAACGTTGATCTTATTTGATATCAGGCGTTGGAGGCTTCTTTGTCAAGATTCCTAAAAGTCGTAAGGACAAAGAAGCTGAACAAGCCCAGGAGCTCATGGATTTGAGTGACGAAAAGCCGAAAAAGAAACGGAAGCAGAGGGCGAAAAGCAAGCTGCTGGAATCGTTTCCATCGTATATGCAAGAAGCATTTTTTGGAAAGGAAACGTTGGACAGCGCGATAACATTGAAGCCCAAGTCAGAACCCCAGACTTCCACTTCGATTAAACTTTCCGAAGGACCCGTACAACCGTTGATCGTTGCTGGAGGAAACGCTGTCGCACGTTTTAAACTTCCGGGTGAAGAGTTGCGAGAGATGGACGATAAGGTTTTGGACATCCAAGAAGTGGAACCGAAGCAAGAACCAGATTCGCTGAAGTTATCTCTGGTTAGATTCGATTTACCACTTACTAATTGGACTTCATCAGCAGTTTTTTTTATCAAGTTTTAATACTAATGAGAACACTTACTCGCGTCGTTTTCCCACTTCAGGATGAAGTTGCACTCGTGGACGAGATGAAGCACGAGCGGATGGAAAGGGAACGAAAGAACATCGAAGTCAAGGCCAAGAAAGAGTTGGAGCGGCAAAAATACCGTGAAGAATTGGCGAAAAAGCGGAAAGAGAAGGAAGATCGGAAAGCGAAGAAGTTGCAAGCCGCTCGGGAAAAAGAGGAGCGAAAAGCTGCTGCTGCAAAAGTTGAGATGCCTGTTCAGCCGGATGAAGAGGAACATGAAGTTGTTCCTGATTCCCTCCACGACATGCTATTGTCTGGTGACTTGTTCAATGATGAGATTGACGATTCATTGTTCGAAGGCGACATTGAAGGTGAGCTTACGATCTTTGCTGAAAGAGGATTCATTTTATTTAAAATTGTAAATTTTTTATCTATACATTTCCGATTCTGTATAGCGCGTAAATTACACCTGAAGTATATGATTGTACTGTGTATGTTTTTAAGACGCTCAACTGGACGTGGATGATAAAGACGAAGAACTAGATGAGCATGTAATGGAAAGCAGCGCACCCCGTCAGTTACCCGTGGTTTCTAATGCTGAGGAGTTGGTTATGGAACATGTTGCCGCGATGGTGGCTTCGCATTCTCAACCACCGCCTGTTGCAAACGGTGGTACTCTGGTCGTTCATGCCAAGGATGATCTAACGGAAATGTTGCTCAAAGGAGGCTTTAATGACGACAGTGAGTTCATATCAAGCGAAGAGCTTCTTGAAAGACACGTAAAAGGATCGATGTTCATTTATGGTAACGTTAGTCGTAGCATTCTCTCGACTCGTTTTCGCTGTTCTTTATTCGAAGTCGCTGTATCTTAATAGAGTGCGACGATTTCTTAATCTAGTGAGACTTGCACAAAATCTTAGTGGAAACATCTTAGCTTTTGTAAAGCCTAAACGCACCCTTTACAACTACAGACGCTGCACGGCTTTTACAACTTTGGTAGTACACTCCTTTTAAAGACATTGAAGAACGGTAACCTCTATTCAACTTTCATATTATCTACATTTTTTACTGAAAACTGGTATTGGAAAAATTAGGAAAATCTTTTTGCATACTTTTTCTTAGATGTTTAAAAATACAGTATTTTCAAAATTACGTACTGCCCCTCGTATCAGTTGCAAGCGAAATTCTACTCCATAGAAAATGTAAAAGGGTCATATACTGTACTTGACGTTCATTACAATGAGTTGTTTTATTGGAGAGATTCTGGTAAATTTTGGAACGAGGAACTTTAAAATTTGCTAGAATGTTCATCTTGAATCATATTCGAATTTTGAACCATTTAAAGTGATGTGCAGTATTTTGTTCTGTGTTATTCGTTGAACTGAGCATAGATACAGTAATGGCCTAGATATTTGGAATGAAAATGTACAATACCGTATTTGGTTGAAGGAGGATTTTTATTTTCCAGTTTATCAGCTACTGATCTCTCTCATTGCATTTTTAGACTTGCCGGCGATGGACAGCCACGACGTGGAAGCTTTGTTGCTTGGTCTGAAGAAAGACGATCATTTGGGAATATCCACCCCACCGCACATGAATGTGATCTCTCCGGACTCATTAGGACCCTTGGCCAACAGCCCCGGGTTGCCGCCCCGCCAACACTTGATCTCGCAACCGCAGGACATGCTGCATGCCGTACGACCTATCGTGCGTCCACCTACCATGATTGTGCTCAACCAGGAATCGCTAGAACCAACAGTTGTTCATCAGCAACCGCAGGTGTTGGTGCAGCAGCAACAGCAACAATCGGTGGTGTATCATCAGCAAGTTGTTCGAGTTCAGCAAGCTCCACAACCCCCGGTTGCGCAATCCGCGGAGTTCGTGTCGTCAGAATTCCTTCCAAGGTGAGTTAATGAGTCTGCGTGGGTAGAACAAATCAATACTGTATTGGGTTCGTTGCTGGATTCTTGTGAGTCTTGTCAGTCTGTTGGGTTCTCCATTCATCCCGATTTCCTCACCTCGTGTGTTTTGAAGTTTGAAACTCGAAAGAAGAAGTAATCATTCACCAGAATCATTCTGATGTACCGTACCTCATTCCTTCGAAACATTGTTTAGTCGATTGTAAGCAGGGGGTCAAGAACTCAAAATGTCTGAAATTTGTGAGAAATTGTATTAATTTCCTTATTTACGGAAATGCGTTCCCTTCAAATATAATCACGCCGAAGGGGCTCGAATTTTTTGAAATTCGGCAAGGAAAGCCCGGGTGTTCCGTCATTAACGAATAACAATTTTACTGGGTCTGAAGGGAAATTCTCCCCGATTTTATTTTATTCATTGTTTATTTTAAAAATCACGATTAAGATACAGAGTTAAACCCCGTTAATAGCGTCCGTCGATAAGTCGCCACCCTTCGCAAAAGCTTATTTATTTTGAAACAAAAAAACTTCCCTAATGATGAATAGCATTGGGAACCCCGTTAAAACGCCGCCGGCCATACGCCAAAATTATTGACAACTAAAATATGATCCTGCCAATTAATATTTGTCTTTGATAGCCCGACAACAAGATTCAAGTTTCTGAGAGAAGTCTCCTATTAAAAATTCACCAGCACAAATATACTCATTCCGAGGTTATTTTAATTTTTGTGGAAAAAAGGAATCGCATTTCTTTTTTTTAACCTAGATTACTTGATTCTCGTATTATTTTCGTTTTCTTTTGATGAACCGTCAACCCCCTTTGAACAGGCAACCTCGTTAAACCGCCGCAAACCTCAGGTGGCGGCTTATCGAGGTTTGTCCGTATTGTAGTACAGTATTGTTTATTTTGCAGGATTTCCGCCATTGGTACTCTATTTGGCCGTATTCGTTACCATTTGCGGTTGAAATTCCATGATCAATTCATGTTCCTCCGTTTCATTTCATCTTCGCGTGATCTACGAGCAGACATGTGTACTAATTGCGATGTTCCTTCTGCGATTGCAGACAATCAAATCCGAGTAATGTTGCCAACCCGAACACCGAAGACGTATTTGTTACGTCCGCCACTCCTGCCCCCGTTGTCCAGTGGAATCATTCTGTATCGCAAATTCCGGAAACAATAGCTGGGAACCTCGTGGAGACTCCCATCCAGAATGCCGGTTTTGTTCGTTCCGCGGATGTGCAATCAAGTCCCAGTAGCGTTGATGAGAACGGAGCTAAAGTCAATGCTACGACGTCTGTCCCCGTCCGCGCCGACCCCAATGTCAACAGTCGGAATATCAATAACCAGAAGTGGGAGTTGGAAGAAGCGCTTGGTTCGAAGGCGACGATATCGGCTGTGCTGTACGCTAATCTGCATCATCCTGATCTACCACAGCAATATCCCAGTAAGTTCGACCTCCTACCAGAAGTTTACGACACTTTCATGCTTTGAAAAAAGGGATTACGCTTACTTTACGCTGGTACAATTGGCAGAATGTTGCCTAGATGAAGCGAGGCTTTCGAATAGAGTATTTAAGCTCATCGAATAATCAAATTTCGAGCGGTATTTTATGAATATGTAGGTATTCGGTAGTTCATCGTGAAGTGAACGTTGTTTGGAAATTGTGAAGTAGGCTGAAGTTACCAATTCCTTGATGTGAGTCGAAGTCGTAATCTGTACTTTATTCTGAGGAATTGGTACGAAAAGAACTTTTGAAAGTGGCGCAATTCAAAAATAAGTTGAAAAAACCCTACCCCATCCCACGGAAACTTGTTTCTGCGAATATTTCCGTGAAAAAAATGAGGAATGTTATTGCAGAACATCTGGTACTGTAACTTCAATTTGAAGCTCTACACTTCCTACAGTTTAGGAAGTTGAACTTTCATTCACAAGTTTGAGGGAAGAAAACGGCAATGGGGGTTTCTCTGAGATCAGTGGATGCAAAGATGACTCGTTCACGAATTTTTTCTTATTCCATTGGTGGTATAGTACTGTATTGCCTTTTGTTTCAACACATTTCCCTATTTGACGGTCACGGAATTGTATTCATTCGATTTTTTTTTCGTTCGTTCGAGAATCATCTGATTATCGGAACTGCCTTCTCAGGGGAAACGAATTTTTCTAGTAGAAAAACTTGGGAAGCTCGATTGTTTTCTCTCAATACTCGATTGCAGCAGGGAAATTCTGTAATGACTAGAAGTGTACCAAAAACAAAACTTGAATGTATGTACAGAAAGTTGAGCAGGGAAGTTTGGCGCAATCTTGTCCCTTTTGTCTCATCCTCTCTGGTATGCTCATTCAGAACCACTCACCCTATCTTCCTCAGAAACCAGCCCAGAATGTGGTTGGCTCGTTCGTTCGAGATTCACCGTGATAATCCTGGTACATAAGTTGAAATTTTGGACTTGAAGTGCTTTCTACCAAGAAACGATGGTCTAAATATAAAGAACTGTCGAATATTTTAGGGTCTTCCTTCTGAATCTGGAAGTTGTTGCTCTCGATTCATCAAAACAGTGCAGTCGGTGCATTATTCACGATATCCAAAAATTAAAAAATCGGGCTCAGCCGGGATTTGAACCCGGGACCTCCTGCACCCAAAGCAGGAATCATACCCCTAGACCACTGAGCCATTGTTGGAGGAGGGGATGGCTGAAATGAGTTTAAATACTGGCCAGATATTAAGAATATGATGCACTATACTGTATACAGTATATGCATACCGTATATGCGTATAGCAACTGGACTTCCCTTAAAAGTCTGCAACGAAAGTCAACAGACAAGAATTTGTTTTCTGGGGAACACCAATAACATGGGGAGGGGGATTTGAAGCCTACAGGACCTTAAAATACAGTATTGTTTTACGGAGAAAACTGTTGGAGAGAAAGTCATCCTGTACAGCTGAGGAAATCTGTTTTTCTTTTGAGGAAAATTATTGTTTTGAGACGTAAGTGCCTCACGTACAACTAAATATTGTACTGTACATGTAAACATTACAACCAAGATTTATTTGTGGGACCTCTTCTGCTTGCCGGTAGTGCATCATTTTGTAACAAGAAATCAATGGGGAAAACCATTCCTCAGTTTTAAGTAAAGATCCTCAAACTTTTTCTCACATTTTACTGTAGATCTTTTCAAAAATTTCCTAGGTTTTCTCAGCTGTGATTTCTAAAGACAACATATCATAGCCACCTAATTTTCATCCATATTTTCCATTTTCGGCATTCCTGATTCGAGAAATTGCCAACATACTCATTTCTGTCCGAAAAATGTAGAAATCCCTTGGGAATATTGGTGGACTCTCTCTACAAGGAATTCAAGGGACCAGAGAACATTCGTTGTAGAGAACCCCTATAACTTAAGGAGAGAACCCTTTGGGACCAAAGAGGAATACTTGTACAGCAAAAATCTTCGTAGACAATATCATTTTGGAGAGTTCGCCTTCAGCTAAAACATCGTGTATATTGCGGGAGCCGTGATTCAGATGTTTTTCTGTGACGCACGATTAGAAAAATCTTCCTTGGAAAACTAGTCAACGAATTAAATTTTTAATGTGTTCATTTAAGCACAATGAGCTGCCGTTTCATTTTCACTTGTGAAAAAAATTGCTAGACATGTTTATTATGGTTTCACTCGACATCCTCGACGGGTTGTGATTGATTGGAATGTCGTTTGAGGAATCGTACTCGGGCGATGATGATCCCTTTTTGACATGTATATTTATCTCTTCTCTTTTTCCAGACTGGAACGATCGACAGAGACAGATCAATAAGATTTGGAGAGCTCTCTCGGTCGATGCCCGAAGTGAGTATGTGAAGAAGGCACGTGAAAACCGGAGCGCGTCTCGCATCGTTCGCACTACGGCCTCAGAGCTGAGCACATCTCCCGGGCCGCCGATCATGTCGGATTCTTCCATGTCGTCCGACGTGTCAACATCTAGTTCTCAAACGCCCATCATGCATCCCGGAGTGCCTCCGGAGCCGAGCGTCGTTGTGCCGGCTCAAATGCAGTCGCAGGAATTGTTTCCGCCGTCAATACCCACGCCGCCCGCGGACATTTCTCAAGAAGAAGTTGTTAAGAAGCAAAAGCAATTGCGGGAATTGTTGCAACAGTCACCTTCGCAGCCTGTTTCAAGTCCCGTTGGTAAGTAGAGTCGAGTTTTGCTTTTTATTTCGATAATTTTGTAGAGTGCGAAAGCTGTGAACATTTTATGCTGAAGAGTTGAGATGAAGTCAATCCTGTCATGTATAGCGAGCGAGCGAGTTTCCTCAGGATGAACGGACCTTCTATTTACGAGACTCGTGCAGTTGTTTTGTATCCTTTCGTAGAAATGTATTCCAGCCTTCGTGTCAACCTGTGAAATTACAAATTGGATGCCTTTTAGTCGTGCCTCCGGTGGAATTGTTTCCTATAGATAATTTTATTTTTTCCGCTGATTGTGAGTCAGCGTTCAAAATGCTCAACAATATTGAGCACATTTTCACGTGTTTCTCCCAAACGGTTTTGGAATGCGCAAAGGTTTCCCTGTGTTGTGTAGGGTATTCCAGAAGTTGCCGACAAAAATCGTTGGTAAATACTTGGATGTCATAGGCATTTTTTAATTTTACGCAGGTTCATCTTGAATTTATTTTGCTACTCAGTTCCTTTTTTTTAGTGCACGAGTATTTTTCCAGAGGCATTGTAGAATTGATACCACTTCGATTAAAAATGGGGGATTTACTTTTTCTGAAACATGGAATATTTTAAGCAGAGTCGAGTATCCGAAGGAAAAGAATCACGGAAGCCCTAGTTTATTCTGCAAAAAATTACATTATTCGAGGCAGCCATTCTAATGTTATATTCTTGTAAATATACGCTAAGGCAGTGTTCCCCAACCCGTGGTCTGTGGACCGGCGCCGGCCCGCAGAAGTTTTTTGCCGGTCTGCTGCAAATTTTCTTCAGAATAAATTTAACAAAAGTAGCAATGGAGTCTGTTATCTTCATCTACGATTTCGGAAAACAGTGGCAGTTGAATTCACTGTATCTGATGAAAAAAAAACAGAAGTTGGCTTTTCTCCTAATAACGCTTCAAAAAATGTTCACCTGCTGAAATAAATCATTGTAATGTTTCATTCTGAGAGACCATTCTTCCGGCACACCTTTCTAAAATTTTGGAGACATTCCACTACAGCTCCTTCATGGTTCTCAACTTAATTTTTGCAAGCAGAAACTTTAAATACCTGCCAAAGGTCTTTCAAGCGAATGTTTTTGAGTCTGCAAACATTTTATGAAACTTTGCCGGTCCGAAGAAATTTTTATGTCAATTCGCCGGTCTGCGGGCGAAGAAGAGGTTGGAGAACACTGCCCTAAGATATTGTTTTCATGATTCCAGTGTTGAAAATTACTTCCTGCTGAACACCAAATTAACCCTCTTGACTCGTTTATTTTCCGTAGTTCGCGGAATCCTCGTGGGCACAGACAATCGACAATCGGTTGCGTTCCGAGAGCCTCTTCCGCCTTCAGGAGCCGCGCAACAGCCGCCTCCTTCGCGAACACCGCCGGGAGTGGCGCCCATGCGCAGTCCTCTGCCCGGTGACCAGCCACAAATGCGAGTTTTACTGCAGCAGCCGCAACTTCATTTGCAGCAACGGACCGGAAATGCCATCGTTCCAGGTAAGGAAGGAGAAGGAGCGAAGGAGGACGAAGTTTCGCGGGACGGAATGCAGGAGCCCAAAGTCGTGGCAAAAGTTCACGCGGGTTCCCTGCAGCGATCGCCCTCGGCACCTGCCCTAAATGCCGGTACGGGTTTTTTAACCCCCCTGGTGCTCGTGGTTGCTTCGTGACTTGAATTTTTGAAACGCTAACCCTCTCCTCGAGTTCCTGTAGTGGAATGCCTCCCGCTTTTTTCGTTGAGAACTAATTGCCTGCCGTATTTAAGAAAGCCGACGCTGGAGGGCAAAGACTGGGGATCCGTAGGTGTATTTTTTATCATATGATGTAGACAATAATCTCGGAAGATTTGAGCTGCATTCTCCTTTTTTTCTCGTGGATCTTGAGGTAATATTTTATTTTTTCGGAATGAAGCGAAAAACTTGAAATTTCTTCGAGTTTACGCTTCGCGATTAGTCTTCGGAAATGCGTATTGAGCTGCATTGCATCATGTTGAAAGCATGTTCCAAACGTTGAATAAGTTTGCTGTTGGTTTTCAGTGAGCCGTCGTTTTTCGATTTGTAGTACGATCAGTCTCTTTTCGTCTTGTTCTCATTTGATTGCCTTGATTGATTGAACATCTTCGGTTTTTTTTGAAAAACGTATGCTAGAATCCAGAAATTTGCTTATCCGAACTGACGAGAAACGTGAATTTGTTGAGCATTTATGCTGTTTTTCGTTCATTGTTGAACCCGATTTTATTTTATTCTATTTTTTTAAATGCACGCTGAGTTGGAAATTCGTTGAAGTTGTATTTTACGTGACGCAGCTGAACTTTGGTACATCTTTTGTTTCAGATTTGCTTAGATCAGATTGTATGATGCTTTTTTTTCTCCAGGATCTCACACTGGACAAATGCCGACGAGCCTGGCGTTGACGGGACATCCGATGGGCCAACGGATGGCCACAAGTATGCAGCAGCAATCCGCCTCGGTTCCGTCTTCGCCGACAGCCAGTTCATCATCTCTGCTTGCGAAGCAGCTTTCTCATCCACCTCTGCAAAGCCAAACGTCGCAGCGACTCCATCCTGGCAGCGTTCTTCTTGTTTCACCAGGCGCCAATCCAGCTGTGAGAATGCCTTCAAACGTAGGCCCGCAGATGCATGGTGCTGAAGTTAATCCGAATGATGGGCAGATGCAGATGCAAAAATCGGGGGAATTGCTTGGAGAAGCCCCACCAAATCAGCAAATTGGTGAGCTTTGTTTTGCTCAACTTCTTTTAGTCCACGAAGATTCGATGATTTTCAGGAAGATATTTTTAATAGGGATGAAACGTTGCTTTGATCTATAAATTTGAGATGTATCCTATTTCCCTTAAAGATGATTTCCCCAGAAAAAGATTTTAGTAATACAGTACGTCCATTAAAATGTTGAATTGTTCAAGTGTGGGTAGATGACACTGTTGGTCGAAATTAATTGTTCACTTATCTCAAACACTTTCTTTCCGAATACAGGTGGACTCTCTCTCTACGCCGATTTTCTCTGCTTAGAGAATTATTTTTTTTATCTCATAGGGTTCTCTCACCATGTTCTGGGGCTTTTCTACGAAGAAATTCTCCCTGCATCGATTTTTTTCTTGTCTCTTGAATTTCGTTGTGTCTACAACGAAATTCAGGAGACCAGAAAAAATTCGATGCAGGGAGAATTTCGTTGTAGACAGAGAGAGTTCACCTGTATCATCTCTTTCTAGGTTCTGTCTACCTCCTGTCTCAGTTTTAGCATTACCACGTTAGTATAGATTAAATCGGAATGCCTTCCACTTTCAACAAATGTTTTAAATCCCTGTAGAACGTTCTGAATGTTCCGTAAATTCAAATTTTTCTACATTCTTGAGGTAGTACGGTATTATTTCAGTTAATTTTTCCCCCTACAGTTGTTGCCAGTCACGTTGCGCAAGGAGAAGGATTACAGCCGAGAGTTCGTCACCAGGTTGTTGTTCAGCAGGTTGCAGTTACTGGAGACCAAGCGCGTTTTATTCAGCCTGGTCAACAGTATATTCTTAGACCGCAGCAAGTGATTGCTCGCCACGGTGGTCCAGGCCAGGTAAGAAACTTTGGGCTTTTGCATGATAAGAGCGGAACCGTCCCCGTAATATTGGCCTTAATCGGTAGTACTGTCCAACGATCTTTTGCGAGTTGGCACGCAGAATCTTTAATGAAGAATTTCAGCGCGTTGAACGAAGATGTAATTTTTTCGTGCTTGCTTCAGTTGAATTCAACAGAGAGAAGCGATAACTACTGCGCATACTCGAGTATCATGTCCACATATTTTCTCTAAAATTTTTCAGGAAAGAAAGTGGGTGCGCGTTATTGACGGTTATAAATTGTTCAAAAAGTTTTAGAAATTTAGTTGAACAATATACTTCATTGTAACAGGAATATGGGACCAAGTTGAACAGAAAACCATATTTCAATAAAAACAATCGAGGATTAGTTGAATTCTGGTTCAATTTTTTCTAAATCAAATTTTGAGTATTCTTACTTCTATGATACAGCTGCATACAGCTGTTTTAGGGTCACTAAGAATGGGGTTCCAGTCGAAGTTTTAAAATGGAAAATCTCGGTGCCGTTTTACTTGAGGGCACGTGGTACTCAAGTAAATACGGTAAATGATTTACTGATGACAACAAATTGAGCTTCAGAGTATCAGAGATTAAATGCGAAGCAATACTAAATTACTGTAATACGGTGTGTCTTTAATTTGAGTTAGGCACCATATGTAATTTGAGTTGCAGTTTTGCAGTTAGAGGAGGCCTGTTACAAATGGTACCTTCCTTTCCTGAAAACTGGCACACTTGGAGAGTTGTGCAATCCACAGAAGAGCTGAAAAGATATGATGTAATAAATATAATGCAATAATTCCCCTAGTGTCTTGGGAAATTTTTTTAATTTTTGGGAAAGATCGCCGGTGTTTCCGGTTTTATTTCCGCTTTTAAAGCCTTTGCGTCACAAAATGTTGAAAATTCGCTGTTCATCGTTTCGCATTTTTCTTATATGGGTCCAAAAATAAAAAAATTCGGAATTTTATAAATCCTTTTATTTATTTTAATTTTTTTTTAGACTCAAACGATTCTTCAAAGAACTGTGTCGCATCCGAACCTTCCGCCTGCGAATATCATTCGCCCGACGTCTGCTATGGTTCCGGTCGGTGCCAGCCCCATGAAGCCGAATATGATGACAGATGGCCCGCCGTCGGTTATTCATCAGCCAGCACCAGTTGTGAGCAAACCTCTGCTGTTGCAAGAGCAACCCTTGCTCCTGCAGGACTTGGTCGAGCAGGAGAAAAAGGAATTACTCCAGCATGTTCCGAACCAGCAAGTTCTTCCTTTACAGCAACAACAGCATCACCAACAGCAGCAGCAGCAACAACAACATCAACATCAACAACACCACCAGCAGCAGCAGCCGCAGCAACAACAGCAACAACAACAAGCCGCCATGCTTCTTCAACAACCTCCCGCGATGGCCGTAGGCGGCGCTCCAGTTGGTGCTGCTGTTCATGCAGGTGTACAGCAGCCTCATACCCAACCAGGTCAGTCTCGCTTACACGTTTTACTCGGAAGTATTTCTCAGGTGCGTTTAAAAGATTAAATTCAGTGCTAGAACTCGGAAGAACAAAAACTGGGAAATTCCGAGTGTTTAATTCACATTAGTGCAGTAGGATTCGTTATTTTTTGCTAGTAATATACCCTTGAAAAAGATAAATGATTCAAAGGGGCTTTTTGGTTTTGGAAAATGCTTCTACAGTTGTACCTCTTCAATTCGGACCTCCCTAACTCGAATTTTCGTCTAGTCCCTGGCCAAATTCCTTCGAAATTACCGTGTAACTTGAACGTCCTCATTTAATCAAAATTTTTCAAACCTGTGAACTTCTCTAACCCAGAATTTTTGAAGACAAGAAAGGACGAGAAATTCAAGTGGTAATATTTTTGGAAATGAAATTAGCAAAGTAGTTAGACCATATAATCATAGATCTTTTGTTGATGATGAACACTCGTGCATGAGTTCTGTTGAATGAAATACTTGAAACTTTTCCAGTATCAACCCCCGTGGCCCGACCGCCGCCCGTTGGAGCGAATGCCCCGATCATGCCGCCAGCTCCGGCCGTGATGTTCCATCTCACTCCATTACCGGCCCCTCAGCAACCGCCTGCAACGATTGATTCGGAGGAAAATCGTCAGAAGCAAATTGAATACGAGCAATGGCTACACAAAAACCAGCAAATTCTGTCAATGCAACTTAGTCATTATCAGTCCGAAGTTGAACGCTTCAGAAAGGTAAAAAAAAATTTCTCTCAAAAAATAGAAAATTTCGAGCTGGTTCAAATATTCTCATTATTTTTTTTTTCAAGGTGCGAAAAACTTTGATCTCAAGACAGCGTCAGCTGCGAAAAAATAATATGGAGTTATCTGAACATGACGCTGCCACATTGGAGCAAATTTCTGCCGATCAGGCTGGTCTACAAAAGCAGCTTGAGCAAGCTAGGAAGGCGTCCAAGCAGCATGCAAATACCTTGCAGGCGAGTGTTATTGATCATTATTTCAACCAAATATTTTATGTAATTTTTCCGTTATGTCGTTTACGCCCAATCGTCTTTGACTCCGCGGCTGTAATTCGCTGCTATATATGTGTCGCCTGAATTATCTCAGACTTGACTTGGGTTCAATTAGGTTTAAGGAGAAGTAAGTTAACAACATAGCATTTCAATTGGCTGTGGTTTTGGTAAGGGCTTTTTAAAAAAATTATTCATTCGACGTTCGTCTGAAATTCGAGAAATTTAGAGGTGTTCGTCAGAGGAAGTCAATCTTTGCGTTTTCTTGAAAAGTTACTGTGTAATAGGAAAGGCTTGGTAGAGATGCAAGAAGAATAAAGCTTTTAATACTGTATGTATGTTATTGCACTTTCTTTTAGTTCAGATGCAAAATATCTCGCTAACGTGGAATGACGGAACTCGCAACTTGTAGGTTTCTTGGCGTTTGCTTGAGAATTTCGAATCGGTTTTCCAGCAAAAAAAAAAAAAAAAAAAAAAAAAAAAAAAAAAAAATCNAAATAAGAAAGGAAAATACAAAAAAAAAAAAAAAAAAAAAAAAAAACGTAAAATTTTCAATTTTTACAGGACTACAACTCGAAGTTCCGACCGAATGTTACCCCGACTCCACCGCAGGCCTCCCCACAGCAAGACATGCAGACGCAAGTTGCGCAAAACGTAAAGCCCCAACAGGTTATGCAGATGCATCAACAAGATACTTCGTTACATATGGAGATGGGCTTGGACGAAAATATGCAACCCGTTCCGACGCCGGTTCGAATACCTCAACCGGCCCAGTCGCACATGATGGAAACTGCTGCTCAGTTGCATCCGCAAAACATGGGACAAATGCAACAATCTGTTCGCTTGAACAAAATGCAGTCAGAACAACAGCAGCAGCAAAACATGCATGTTCAGCAGCAACAGCATCAGCAAGCCAATGTGCATGCGATGCAGCAGAACATGCATGTTCAGCAGCAGCACCAACATTCTATGGATGTTCCTATGCAGCAGCCGCAGCAAACTATGCATGTGCAGCAGCAGCCAGGCTTACACGTCCAGCAACAGCAGCAGCAGCAGCAACAACAACAAATGTTCATGCATCAGAATGCTCAAATGCAGCAGCAGAATGTTCATATACAGCAGCAGCAGAATATACAAGTCCATCAGCAGCAGACTAATATTCAACCCCACATGCAGCAGCAGGGAATTCAAATGCACCATCATCACCACCAGCAGCAGCAGCAGAATATCCAAGCCCAGCAGCATCAAGCCATGCAAGTGCATCAGCAACAACAGCAGCAGAACATCCATGCTCAGGACAACATGCACGTGCCGCACCAGCAACAGCAGAACGTGCATTACCACCAGCAGAACGTCCACGTGCAACAGGTCCATCAAGAGATGCAAATGAATCACGGACACTTGCAGCAGCAACATCAGATGCGAATGCAAGCTCCTCCGCCGCATCAGCAGCTGCAGCCTCAGCAAAAGTTAGTTTCTGGCCAGATGATCTCGCCGCAAAGTGGGCCCATTCCGCGGCCACCGACGCCCATGCACAGCAGCCACATGCCGTCTCCGCACGGGGTCGTCAGTCCAATGACGCCTCATCAACAGGGCGTTTCATCGCCTCATCCCTCGCTCACGGCGTCGCCGATGCCGTCTCCAGTGCCGCCATCACCGGGGACGTACGCTGTTGCGAGTCCGCAACCTCCGATTTTGTCGCCGCGACCCCCGATGCCGGGATACATGACTGAAGAGCAACAGCAGCACATGGCGCCGATGTATCAACAGCAGCGGACGCCGACGCCGCAGGGAATCATGCAAGGTGGCCATGTTGGGCAGCGGATGATGGGAATGGGTGGTCAGCCGGGAGGAATGCATCATCACGTACAATATCGACATCCGAGTCAAGGTAATATTATATAGCTAAAGCTTGTTACAACATTTACCGTTGCAACAATTTTTCAGTATCAAAAACCTTTTTTGTAAGTCCCACCAGAAGGCCCGTGGAGCATTTTTCCCCATCCGTGGTCCGCGGACTGGCGCCGGTCCGTAAAAGTTTTGCCGGTCCATGGGAAATTTTATCAGCATAAAAATTTATTTAAAGCAGCAATGAATTCTTCATCTGAAATGTTTGAAAAACAATGGCAATAGATATTATCTCATGAAAAATAGAAGTTGGCCTTTCTCATATTAAAACTTCAGAAAATTGTTCATCCCCTGAAATAAATTATTTTAATTTTTCTCACTGAGAAACCATTCTTCAAGCCCAGCTTTCTAATTTTTTGAAGACATTCCACTACAGCTACTTAATTGGTTCCTAACTTAATTTTTGCAAAAAGCAGAAACTTTTTGAACACCTGCCATGAAGTCTTTCAAGTAAAACTTTTTTGAGCTTGCACAATTTCACAAAACTTTGCTGGTCCATAGGATTTTTTTTTCTATTTGCGGGTTCACAAAGAATTTTATGGAAATTTGCTGGTCCATGGGCCCAAAAAGGTCGAGGAACGCTGCCCAGGATTACACTGTTGAAATAATCTAATTGTAACAAACTTCCCAATTTCAATACTGTGTAGCAACTTTTTTTGAAGAATGTGGGATGGATTCTTCAGGTAGAACTTTCCTGACTATAAGGCAAGCAGTCCAAAATTTCCAAGCAGTCCAATTTCCCAAATGTGACTGACCGGTTCTTGTAGCATGGATCAGTGTCTATGATCAGTGTCAAAAATGTTTTGTAATTTCATGACTGGCGTTGGGTTTTTAGAAATTCCGTTAGTCTCAAAATGAGTTTTAACGTTCATTTATGCTTTTTGGAAAGGTTGTGAGAATAATTCTAAAAACAAGCGTGGTTTTATTTCAAACTATTTTTATTTTTCTTCCCTCGGCGATCGTGTTCAGGCATGGTCATCCAAGGCACCATGTCTCAAGTTCAGCAAAGCTTTCAAGCTCGCCAAGGAGCGATGCAGTATCGTCAAAGACATCCGAATGACATGCGGCATGTGCCGACACCCGGCGGCTACTCCCACCAACTCTCGCCTGGACCAGGTCCCCAATCTCCGTTCCCGGCCCCGTCTCCAAGTCCATCATTGCCGCCCCCGTCGCCGAGTCCGTCACTGCAGACGCCCAATTACCGGATGCCTTCGCCGAGTCAGCCTTCGCCGCTTGACAGCCCGCATCAGGGACCGCCGACCCCGGGCATGGGTGGCTTTGCTCATCCGCCGCCGTCCCGGACGCCCGTTCCTCCCGGTGGACAAACTGTGCGGAGTCCCGCGCCTTCCCATTTCCCACCAGGACAACACAGTCCCGGCATGCGGCAAATGGCTCCGAATTATTCTCAAGGTTCTACTCGTTCCAAATACTGTATTATCAACTGCAATTTATAAATTTATAAAAAAAAAAACTCCCGAAATTGCAAGTTCAGAAAGACGTAAAAGATACCGTCGCGCTTCGATCATTGTAGATTTCGATTTCTTGAAGATTGAAGCAGTATTTCTGGGACCGCTGAAAAACTTCTTCGATATTTTCTCTTTGAGAAAGCGTGAAATCCGTGGTTCATAGTTTCCTATTGCGCAATAATACGAATACAGCTGAACCTCAATAACTCAAACCTCCCTATGTCTGAATTTTCTCAATTCCCTGTCTGAATTCACGTGGGAACAATGTAGTAAAAGCCTCCCTAACTCGAAGGCTTTTCCTCGTGAAGCTCTGTAACTTGAATTTTCTCAGACCTTATGACTACTATTTTATTGACGCAGGTAAGAGAAAAGGAATGAAAAAAGTAACTCGATGTGTTTTGAAACGAAATGAATTAAACAAATGAACCCTTGCTTCCTAGTGCTTCTTTTCAACTCATTTGAGAAGAAACTTGATGCTCAGACCATCACCAGTTACAATTTTATGCAATTTTTCTTTCTTTCCGACGAAAGAAAGCTCGTTTCCTTGTTTCGAAACCTCCACTACTCGAAAAGTTTCGCTGATCCCATTGAAATTCGACTTGAAAAGGTTCGACTGTATTCTATTGACGCATGGGAGAGAAAAAGCAATGAAGGTTTAATTTGTATGAAAGAATGTGAAAGACTAATTGGGCAAATAAATCCCTTTCATCAAAGTTCAGTTTCTTCAGCACCCTGTCCCCTACTTTAAGAAGTAGTTGTGCCTATAACATCACCTTGATAACTCAAATATTTAGCAACAGTAAAAATTTTCTGTAATTCATCTTGTTCCCGCCAAAATAAATGTTTTGTTCCCTAACTCGAATTTGTCTGCTAATCCCTCGAAGTTCAACTGTACAAAATGCGCAAATCATGAATCGAAGTTTGATTTATTACCGTATCTTTCGAAAATCCCGTTACAAAGAGCTTCTGCTGGTGCAGAGATTCTCTGAAATATTTTTGCAAGAACCTTTTGAACATACAAGTTGATAGTTTGCCTTTTTTGAAGGTAACTGATTCGTCTTGTTTTTCATATTTCAACAATCCTAACAGTGGGTGCAAATAGCTACGTGGCGCAGAGTCCGAAAACACCGTCCTCGACCATCGGTAGCCCGGCCATGAGTCCTTCACCGCATTTGGTGCAACAACAGCAGCAGCAGCAACAGCAATCCCAGCAGCAGCAATATGCGTCCGTGCCGCAACACGTGCGACACGCGTCGGGCAATGTTCGCTCCCCCATGACGCCCGGCCAGATGGAGGCCACTAGTCCGCACGCATTCCAGTTCCCTCAGTCCTCGCCGTCGGTGCAGTACCAGCTCGCCGGCCCGGGACCGAGCGCGGGTCAATACCTACCTTGAGTGGGTTCAGGTGACGGGTTGTTCTGCCTCTTGTTTTTTTTTATTTTTTCGTCTTCTTCCCCTCTACAACTTTTCATAAATGTCCTTGTGATGAGGCGATTTGTAAAAGAATTTTAGTGAAATATATGCGGGAGGGGCAAGGCTTAATTTAAGTTGTTATTGAACTGTGTCAAGTTTTGGAAAAAAATGCAAATTTTTTGTTACGTTCCCGTCTCAAAGCATTTTTTGGTGTAATTTAGAAGCTGCTTTGCCGGAATTTTGGTTGCATTTCATTGATGCTGAATCCGTTGTTCTCACGTTGTCAAATTTTAATGGAGAATAATTTTTTTTTTGTGAAGAGTGACGGAGAATGGTTTGAGGAGTCAAAAACGTGTAGTTCTAAATAAGCCTTGAAATTGTAAACGTTTGACTTTTGTGTATGTAAATGGTGTTTGATTTCTCCGGGAATCGTTGGTGATGAATTTTCTGTAAAAGCTCAAAACGATCTCAAAACATGCTTATTTTGAGCGTGTGTCGAGTAGCTGCTGGCCCAATCTTGTGGTTGAGCAACATTTTTATTCAAGCTTTCGTACTTGGAAAATGTTGAGGCGTCAATTTCGCAAATAAAAGTTTTTAGAACTGTCCCCGGTTTGATTTTTTTTAAATGAAAAAGAAAATCTGATGATGTTGGAAGTCGCCTGAAGCCCGTCAACTGAACTCACTGCAATCATGAGCACTTGCCAGGATGAGCTGCAGAGCGCAGGAGAGAAAGAAAGAGAGAGACAGAAAAGCATTTATTTTTCCATCAGAACCCTGTACCGTGTTGTATTTTTGCCTACGCATAACATTGCCTCGTTGGAAATGTTCAGATTTGTTCATTTTTGTTCGATTATTATTTTTTTTTGTACGCGACGTGCGCGTCGAACAGATTGAACTGATGCTTTATCATTTCCGTCTCGTGAGTGTTTTGAGAAGGAAGAGGAAAAAGCTGATATTTCTTCGTTGATCCCCGTACCTGAAGGACTCCGAAGTCCGCTACTTGATATTTCAAAACGACGCAACTTTTTCCTTCGGATTTCACTTGTCAGTCGGGTAGACATTTTGGCTTAAGGAAGAGTATTTATTATTGGAACTCATTGGAACCAGAGAATATTTGATGCAAGCAAAGAATGTGTCTTTCGAAGGAGGGTTTTTTGTGTTTTTGTTGGACGGCGTTAGACGCGGTTTTTTCGGAATTATTGACAATGTTCGTATGGATTTTCTACATACACTCGCACGTTATTCGGCTGTTTGGTAATGAAGATTACTTCCTACTGGTTTTATCCTACCATTTACCTGCGGAGTTCCGTTTATTGATTTCCAAATCTATTCTTTGTTTCTCTTGATTTTGATATTTATCCATTATTGTACTGCATCCCGTGAGACGTTTTTCTGTATTGTTCACTAACAGGGTACAATTCAGGGGAAAAAGATTTGCTAAACAAGTGAAGTGAAGAAAAATCAATGCGAATTTTAGGTAATTAAATATTCGTATGATCCATAAATTCTATACAAATCCCAGAAGCAGTCCTTTTGATATTTCCTTGTTACATGTATAGTAGTTTTTGAGGGAATTTATATAGGGATTCATCAAAAAGTTGATATTAAATATGGGCATAGGGAGTTTGAATTCTAGCATGGAAAGTACCGTACAGTACCTGTACTCGGGGCAGAAACTCCATTAGGATGTGCTGTCAAACCTCTTCAACAGATCTGCAAAAAAATTTGAGTTACGGAGGTTTCAATTGAGGGGAACAAGCATCATTTTTGAGGAAGGAAAGAAATGATCGCAGGAAATTGTATGATATTGTGGGCCTTAAATTAATTGACAGGATGCTGAAATTTGAGGCAAGGGTTCATTTTTGCCCCATCAGTCTTTCAGTTCTTTTAAAAACACATCAAGTTATGTTTACATTGCTTTTCTGACCTGTGCCAATGAAATAATGGCCAAAAGGTTTCCAAAAAATTCAAGTTATGCAGGTTTTTGAGAGGAAAAGCATTCAGTGAGACCCCAAGATGCAGATGTAATTGGTGCATCAAAAGTGTCCTGATGTTGGAATGTCCTCAAGTTGAGTCTCAGTTTCTCTTAGACTTTAATTCTAATGTATTTAATTGGTTCTCATTTTCTGTCAAAAATTAGAAATAAGTCCTCAAAAATTTTTTATTACACATTTTCCCCCTTCAAGTTGTAGAAAACAACAGTGCAGAATAATGACATAGAAACTGATCTTTTGGTATCAAAATGCGATCAAAACGCAAAGAAAAAGAATAATCTTGCCAAAATAAGCACAGATGATAGAAAAAACAAACTCCAATATAGCACAAAATCTGCTTGCTTTTGATGATAAATTAGAGTGAATTTACTTGAAATATTTTTTAAAATTTTGTGAATACTGTATATGAAGTAGTTTGAATTCTTTGAAAGATATCAAAGTTAAGAAAGATTTTTTTTCTTTTGTGAAAATTTCAAAAAAGTTTCCCTCATTCCAGCCAATGTCCAGATGTAGGGCCTTATTTTTTCATTTTCAAGTGTTCCTGGATTGAATTTTCCATATGTCAGGGTGTCCGCATATCAGGGTCTCACTGTAGCTAGAAAGGTTTCTATTGCCTTGATATGCAGGGAATTAAGATAGGGATGTGAAATATATTCAATGTAGGGAGGGATTCAACTTGAATTGCTGAGGTTTGATTTATTGAGGTTCAATAGCAATCAGGCAGAAAAAAAAGAAGAACATACTCTTTAAATCCAGATCTCCATCACTTATACCAAAGTTGCTCAGCACATCGCCAGAGTCTTTTTTTGTGGATGGATTGCTGCTACTATTCTTCTCAAAATCGAGGCCTTTCTCTTTCTCCCACTTTTTGTTGCAAAATCTTCTTCTTCAAAAATTGGAATCTCTTCGCTGAGTTAAAGTATGTGGTACCACAATAACTTCCCGAAAGTGCCTGCTGCATACAATTTGCTTGGAGAAAATCCCTATTGCTGGTCGCTATAGTTCGAAGCAGATCCTTGGCCGTGATTCTTCTCTTCCCAGCGTTTGTTCATCCGGAAATACTGTACCGAGTATGGGGCATTTACATCAAGGGAAGGTCCTTGACCATCACCTACTTGCTGCGGTCTCCATGCGAAGGTATTTTACACCGCTCGTTGAAAAAAAAATGCAAAGAAAAACGGGACAGAATAAAGAGACAGAAGAAATAGAAACGAGGCTTGGCTTGGCCGTCATTTTCTCCCGGAAGTCGGTTGCCCCGTAACATATGGGACCTGAGCGCAGACGCATCACCGCTGGATCGGCGGGATGAAAAACAATGCATCTACTGTATATACATCTATTGCTTTTGATCGGGATTCGTGATTAATGTAAGTATGCAATAATTTATCTGACTGCATAAGATCATCCCCAGTTCCTGTTTCCAGTGAATATAATATTTATACAGTAGCGTCTGATGGTTATTCCCCGGTTGCAATTTCCATGGCATAAGAGTGGAAAAACAATTGAAATCTTTCACAGTGAAATCTTGCCGCGACAAACTTTCTATCCTTTCAACCATTATTTCCCCATGAACAATGAGACATGGCGCCACGCATTTCCTTTTATATTTTTGTTGAAATATGCCTGCATATATGACGCGCAGAGGTTTCCAAAATTTTTCATTGAAAATGTTATCCCCAGGTACTGCATGCACCCTTTTTTCTGCCTTAAATTATGGAAAGAAGGTGCATGTGATACTCAAGTAGATACAGTATTATGCATTCCATATGCAGTAATAGTTGCACCAATCCCTTAGTCTTCTTCATTCTGGGAGGAATAGTGCTGTGGAACCTTTTGGAAACATGTTGTCATCAATTACAGCAGCTTTCATCCATGCTACAAGAACCAGCAGTCAGTCACATTTGGGATCAGAAATTCCAGACAGTGCCTGCCTCATGCAGTCAGGAAATTACTACCTGGGAGTCTATGAAATGTTTATAAACAAATTTGTTTATAAACATTTCATAGATTCCCAGGTAGTAATTTCATAGATTCCCTGGAACGTACTGGAATTGGGAAGTTTATTATAGCAAGATTGTTTTAAAATGTATTCTTGTGGCTTTCTGCCAAGGCTTGAGATACAATTGGTGGACTTTCTCTACAACAAAATGCAAGAGGGGCCATGAAAAATTCTGCACAGGACCAAATAAAAATTTGTTGTACTGCAGAGAAAATCATTGTAGACAAGATTGTTGGGATTGTTGTATATATATATATATATATATATATATATATATAGAGAGAGAGAGAGAGAGAGAGAGAGTGTGTCCACCTCTGTGCTGAACACTTTGTTGTAATGGTATTTGTTTTGAAAAGATTTTACTGCATTAAATTAATTCAGAAGTCTGTCAGTGACATATTCTAAAGGTAGCTTAGACCAAAATATATTTTAAAATACATATTTTGAAAGCTCATCTTGGTAATTTACGTGAGATAGTAGAATTAGATCATAATTTTATGGATGGTCTCATATTTATATGCAAGATACCGTGAATCAAATTTAATTTTTCTCATTACGTTCCAAGAATTTTTTGTTGATTCGCAAATTTCACTTGAAGGATTGCGATCAGCAAGAAACTGAAAGCCAGCAATTTTTAGTAAAGCTTAGCTGCATATTCCCTAAATTTCTCAAGCATAAGTTGCCGCAGGCAGTTTAAATTGAAGCGAAATAAGGTCATATTCGAGCTAACGTATCAATTTTGCGGGAAACTATACACTGTATACTGAATTTCAGTATTTCCAGCCTTTCTGAAATCGTTTCCTCAACCAAGAATAAATTTGAGCTTCAAAATATGCAGATATATGAATTATTAGGGCGGTAAATATCCATATACAGAAGATTATGGTAAAACGACGGCACTGAAACGACTGGTTTCAGTTTTTCCCCAGAAAATAAGTTTAGTCTTCCCAGACAGATATGATGGATATTAAACAATAGAGCATGATAGTGGGAGAATATGATAAGCTGTAAAGAATGAGCACATTAGGAAACATATGAACGACGTGCATATTCATAGGAATGCCCGGAACAATGATATTTTCTCATGGTTGCTGTAAGGAAAAGTTCATGGCTGTTCATCCTTTGGAGTATCTTAACCAGGAAGAGCAAAGTACCGAAGAAAAACTATTTTACACCTAATTATCAAAATAGCCTCATATCGAGCTGCATTTTTAAGTTATTCTCAAAAAGCCTCATTGAGAATCCAGGTAAAACGAATAATGGAGAAGTATAGGTTTTCAATGCCACCTTAATTTTCTATTTGATGTCATATCGAAGTTTTTAATCAATCCACGCATCAGTTCATTCATACGTAGAACGTAGTCTTTTAAATTATACGCCAGCATCAGATATTTGGAGTTACTGTATTTCGATGAAGATCATAGTTGAAAAACCATATGATCAGTGGAATTTTCTACAACACTTCTACACAAATAAAACCAAATTCTGTACGAACATGTTTGTAGAAATAAGTTTTAGGTTCATCTTATTAGTTAGGTCGCTTACAAAAGTCAAAGGGGAAAAAATACCTACCATTGAATTAGTAGTAATCAAGTACGTTTAGTTATTACTATCTGTACTATGTAAACGAAGATCAGCTGCAGGAATTTCCTCCGCGGTTTAGTTTGAGCTTTTTTTGTTCGTATAAAGATCTTTCACGCAAATGTTAAATTACTTGCTATATAGACTTTTATCTTCTTAAACAAAATAGTTTGAATAATTCGAAGCACAGACTTATTTATATAGGGTATATATATAGTCGTTCGCGTGTTTATTTGGCGATAAAAACGCGCTTTATTTTAGGGCTACCAGCAGATGGCCGTGATTTCACGATGGAAGGGGAACATTTCTGCGGGCAGTGACGTAATTCCGTGATCATTTCTTTCTTCTTTTTTTTCTTAAATGTTATGTCAGAATTCCCACGACCGCCCTCGAAAAAGTGAGAAGAGTGTTTCGAAGGATTTCATATTCTAGATTACACACGCTGGCGTAAATATTTCCCTGGACAACGAAAGATTTTTCTCCCTATTTTCCAAGAAACATCTAAAAAAATCAGGGCTTGGACCAAGTGAAGAAGTAATGCATTACTGCATGTACTACGTAAATTTACCATTCTTTTATTTGTTCATGAAAGAACTTTCGTATTCCTCATATAGAGAGAGAGAGCGATAATGTTAACACATGAACATGCGGAAGTACAGTAAGGAGTTTTTTTTTTAAATCGCTTGAAGCGAACAAAATTAGCATGCATGTACTCATTTCG